TGATTTTAGGGGGAAAGCATACAGTCTTTCACCATTAAGAACAATGTTAGCTGTGGGTTTTTCATAGATTCCCTTTATCAGGTTGAGGAAGTTGTCTTCTATTCCTAGTTTGTTAAGTGTTTCTATCATGAAAGGGTGGTTTGAGTTCCTCAGATGCTTTTTCTGTATCTACTGAGATAATCATGTTTTTTATTCAATTGATATGATGTATTATATTAACTATGGGACAAAGAACTAAGTTTGGCTTTTTGTCTCTGGTTTTTTAAAATAGCCTGAGCTTTTTGTCTTTCTAGAATAGCCAGGCAAGAAGGGGCTACATAGGACCCACCCTGCAACGGTCCTCAGGAAGCGAGGGGGCATGATGAAGTCAATCATGTATATTCATTGAACATGCATATTCATTACGGTCCCAATGACTAGGGACTCTGGACCTTGGAGCTCTCTTCTGAGGGTTTCCTGGATTGGTGAGAACATCCATGCACAGGAGAGGGTGCTGCACGTCCCTGAGGACAATGAAAGCTTCATGCCACTACCTCTCCCAGACTGTGCCTCATGCGTCTCGCTTGTATCCTTTCTGGTTATAATAAATGGGTAACTGTAAATATAGGTAATAGTGTCTGTGAGTTCTGTGAGTCATTCTAGCAAATTACCGAAACTGCCAGGGGCAGTGAGAGCCACCAGAGAGGCTGGCGTTTGCCTGTTTGGCAAGGACTGAAAAACAGAGTCCTAACTTGTAGAGACCCAGCTCTGGGTGGTTGGGTCAGAATGATGAAGTGGGAAACCGGGGATATGAGGTATCTTCACATTTTGGAAATTAACCTTATGTCACCTATTATTCAAGGATTAACTGATGCTAGGTTAGATCTTGGGACAGAAAAAAAAAAAATTAGTGGAAAAAGTGGTGAAAGCCAAATAAGTCTAGAGTTCAGTTAATGGTAATATACCAATGATGGTTTCTTAGTTTCCACAAGTGTACCATGGTAATGTAGGAAGTTAACAACGGGAGAGACTGGATGCAGGGTATTGGGAACTCTGTACTATCTTTGCAACTTCTCCGTAAATCTAAAATTATTTCAAAATAAGAAGTTTTTTTTTTTTTTAAAGTATGGCAAATTTTAATTGTTAATGTTCAATTTTAAATGTTCCTATAAGCCAGTTTTGAATCAAACTTGGTTTGGTTGGTTTGGAAGAGCTAGAGGCATATAATAATGTACTGATGAAAGAGAGTGAACTGCATGTTATTTATTGGAAGTACTGAATTGATCCAAACCCTGGACCTGTTATGGAGCAGCCCATCCATCTAATCCTGACTATTTGTCACATGGTACTGGGGGCTTCTTCTTTGGATTCTCGGTTCATTCACACATCATCTCTTTGTAACTCAATTCTGTGGTTCAGAAACTATCACTGAATACATTCCCCAACCCGAAAATGCTTCTGTTACTAATGTTATTGTGACCTAAAAAGCATTCAGTTAGGAAAGATCTCAGAAGAAGAAAAATCAGCCAGTACAGGCTATGCTGAAGAAGGAGGGGGGAAAAAAAAAGATGAAATCTACATTTGTAGATTTTTCAGAAATCTTAAAAGATAATAGCCAGAGATATTCTAAGAGGTCAATAAGCTCAGATAACTTCATTTCTGAAGTCACCTATGGCGTGGAACAAAACATCTGCAAATAACTGGGGTACAATATAGTATTAAGAATAAGAAACTGATGGCCGAGCTAATAATGACATTTAAAAAATTTAAATATCTCCCCTGTACTGTCAAGCACAAATTAGATTAATTAAGGAGGCAACTTAAAAACGGATCCTAAATCCAAGGAATTCTTGTGATACCCACTGGTTTAATGGATCCCAGCTTAGGTATCCTTAAGATATCCAAAATATCCAAAAATATTGAGTTTTGAAGAAATCAGAAAGGTCATCTAGCACAAACCACCCACCCAATGTTTTAATTTCTTCTACAAGAACATGGAGTGTGTACAGTTGAATGGTTATATATATAATTTCCACTAAGATCAGAGGGAATATTTGAGAGGAGTTCTGTAAGTGAAAAAGGAAAGTCCATAATTTTCCACCAAAAAGGAATTATTGAGAATGAATTAGAATGGGACTTTCCTCAATATGACACAGAACAGTAATAACCAATACTTCTACAGCTCTTACTATGTGCCAGGCATTGTTCTAAGAGGTTCACTTGTTTTAACTCATTTACTAATCCCAAGCAATTCTATAAAGGTAAATACCATTATTCTCCCCATTTTCCAGATGCAGGAACTAGGGCACAGAGAGGTCACACAGCTTGCAAGTGCCAGGGCCAGGATTTAAACTCAGACAATCTGGCTCCAGCATCTGCATTTTTTACTACTATATTAAACTGTCTCTCTGAATAACTGAATAAATTTGAGCATGCTACAGAACATCAAGTTGTCATTTTGTATTATCCAATTTTTGTAGTTTACTTTGTAATTTGTGACTTATCTGACCAACAGAGAAAAAGGTTGATCTGGGGACTCTAGAGAACATCTGCATAATTGACAGTATTGCTTTATCTCACTCTTGGAGCAAAAGTATGGTACTACTAAAGCTCTTATATATTATTATTTCATTAAATTCACTGAATTCTCTTAACAATCCTATGAGATAGGCAGGTACTATTATTACTCTTATTTTCTGGACGAGGAAACTGAGGCACAGAGAGGTCACCCAGATAGCAAGTAGCAGGGCCTGAATTTAAACACCAGTCTGTCTGATCCCACAGCCCACAATCTGACTACACAGCCTCCTTCCTACCGAGGTCCTTCCTGTCCTTCCCTACTCACCCCTCTAGCATGGCCCATCTCACACTTAACCCTTTGACAGAGAATTCTTACAGAGCAGGCTCCTAGTACTATTATTTACCTGTGCACCCTCCCACGCCCAGCCTAAGGAAAGGGGTAGTGCTCCTTGTCTGCTGATTAAATAAACAAATATCCAAAGTTAATAACCCCTCAATTTAGACTCTTTATTCCCACTTGTTTATGGCTCAGCATTGAAATGATGAACTGTAGGGTCTCTCTTACTTGCTTAGGCAGTTTAATAGCAATGAAATTTAGAGAATATTTGAAATAGGAAGATACTGCTTTTGCACTCCAAATTAAGAATGTGTTCTGTTATTCTGAAAGTCTCCTAAAATGCATTTTTTGCCATGGGAAATAACAGCTGTACTAAGTTAATATATGAAATTCTGTTTCCTGAAGGAAATAAGGTATTTGATAGAAAATTTTAGCTAGTAAATTTGCTGAATGCATACACAAAACCTACATTTAACCTAATTACTTCTTTTCTCCTAGAGAATTAGTGATGGCCTCTTAGGGCAATGATCCATATATTAGTCTCCAAATCAGCCTCAGTTGGAAACACAATTAAATGCAAAATAACTCTATATATTTGAAAAACCTATATAATTTCCAAGGTGATTATTCCTATCACAAACTAACCCAACAAATAAACATAGTATTTTAAACCCCAATACTTTCACAGCCCTAACAGTCCTTTCAAAAACATCATATTAACAAATTTATTAAATCTATCTTCTTTCAAAGTAGCCCTGGTGGTGTAACGGTTAAGTGCTCAGCTGCTAACTGAAAAGTTGGAGGTTCGGACCCACTTGCCATTCTGCGGGAGAAAGATGTGGCAGTCTGCTCCTGTAAAGATTACAGCCTTGGAAATCCTATGGGGCAGTACTACTCTGTCCCACAGGAATCAACTTGATGGCAGTGGGTTTGGTTTACCTTTTTTCATATTAATATTCATCATTATTTGTCTGGGGGGAAAGGAATAACTAGTTACTTTAAAGTTAATGGTTGATCTAAAATCTGAAAAATCTGCCCATAATTTTTATCAGTTTAAAATGCCATGCGCGTGTACTTAGTTTTTTTAAATTCTTTCTTTAAATGTCCATTCTTAACTTTATGTCTTCGCCCTAGAAATATAAATATTAATTCAAAAATACAAATCTGAACACTTCCAATATTCTTGGTTGCAGTATGACATGTAGTTAACTGAAGGAGCTTTGGAAGGAGTGAAACAGGTAAGGGTCAGAATCTCAGTTCTGCCACAATGTGCACTTGGCCAACTACCTACATCTTTGAGCCTTGGTTTTTTCAACTATGAAATGGGAATAATTGTAGTATCCACCTGAAAGGTTGTTGTGAAGATTAAAGTCCTTGCATATGGACTTGTACAGAATGATGGTCAAAGTGACTTATGTTATCAGTGAGTAGAGATGAACAATGTTTTTCAAGATCTGGCCCCTGCCTACCTCTTTTAGACTTCAAGTTGCCTGAACATCCCGAGTTATTTCATGCTGTCCTTTTACGTATGTTTGACTTAGTATGCATCCACCACACAGTTCCCACCCACTCCATCTGGGTCTGTCTCACAGATGCTTACTCACCATTTGAGACCCACCTCCAGGAGAACCTCCCTCACATGAGTTTCACTTCTTACCCTGTTTTATGATTATTCCCTAACCAGACACTGCGAATGTTGAAGGAAGGACCCGTGGCTCATTTACCTCTGTACTTCTCAGTACTTGGCGCAATCTCCAGTACAGTCCCCATGGTAGATGGTCGATAATGACTGCTGAATGCACAGAATTGGGCCTTCCACAATTCCATGGTATTAACAAATTATCAAGTGTGAGAGAAACTAAGACAAAGCCTTGGAGTTAAAACTATACCCACAACTTCGCTAAGCATCAGATTCTATTAGTTCTTGGTTCAAGGTGAAATTATTTTAAAGTCACCTTATCATATGCAGCTAGGCCACCCTCGTCATGCAAAGAAACATTAGGAATAAACGCTTTTGTCGTTTTTTAATTCCATGCCAGCATTCTACTTTGGATTTGGATCACATGCTGACTTCATTGGGATGGTTTTGAAACAAAAGAGCACACTGATGTATTTTTCCTTTCAAAAGCAAGGGTGCTAGCTATTGTGCTAGCCCGTCACTCACCTCAGCCACCTGCTGGGTCCCCACTCTGTGCTGAACCAGCCCCTCCATATTTGTAGCCATGGTGAAGCAAGATCATTAGAGAACCTGTTTGGAAAGATGCAGCAACTTCCATCAGGTGGGGAGAAACCAGGCTACTTGAAAAATATTAGCAATCAAAATTCATCTTTGGTACTGTCTTGTGCAGATTTTGCCCCCTACTGGAGATACAGCTAGCAGGTTAAGCATATCTGGATATGCTGTGACAGCTTCTACAGTTACAGGTACAAAAATTATTAGTAGAAACATTTCAGTTTGAAAACAAGACACCCCCTAGTAAATACAGACTAAGATGAATCTGGAACTTTATCAAGTCTCTTGAGTTGTAACAGCTTGGTTTATGTCTCAGGGAGGTAGGAAAAACACCTTTTTTGATAGCTCCCCGTTACAGTATGCTGAATAAGAAGGTGGCTATCTGAGAAAGGTGTGAGATCAACTTTGGATACAGAGTACCAGATTACTATCATCAACCATACTTCTGTTACTAGTGGCAATGTGAAAAGCAAAACCTTGCCCAGGTGCTAACATGCCTTGCTCATGGTTGTAAGGCAAACATTATCATTAACAAAGGGAGAAAAGAAAAGAATTAAAGACATTGCATCACTAAGGAGTACTAAGAAAATGGTACCCATAAATTTATCAATTCATACTTTAAAATCCTCATTAGATTAGAAAACCAGGTAATTCAGCTTTCTACTAACAGAAAAAGTAGGTATGGTGCCATCATTTGCAAAAATTGAGACAGATCATCTAAAAATCTAAGGTATGCCAGTCTCCCAGGTCAGGACCACTTGAGTGTAAACACTGCTGATGAAATATCTGTACATGCAAACCCCCTGGTTTCTTCCAGCCATGAGACACAACTTCTCTGAATACTCCCGAAAACGCTTCCCAATAACCCTGACACAAAGCATTTAAGACAAAGGGAGTCCACTGAAGGCAGTGGCACAAAACAAGGCTCCAGGAATTGATGAAACACCAACTGAGATGTTTCAACAAATGGATGCATCACTGGAAGCACTCATTCGTCTATGCCAAGAAATTTGGAAGACAGCTAACTGGCCAACAGACTGGAAGAGAGCCATATCTGTACCCATTCCAAAGAAAGGTGATCCAACAGAATGAGAAAATTATCGAACAATGTCGTGAAAGTAACAAACAAGTAAACTTATGTTGAAGGTAATTAAAAAACGGCTGTAGCAGTACAACAGGTAACTGCCAGAAATTCAAGCTGGGTTCAGAAGAGGACATGACGAGGGATATCACTGCTGATGTCAGATGGATCTTGGCTGAAAGCAGAGAATACCAGAAAGGTGATTACCTGTGTTTTACTGACTATGCAAAGGCATTCGATTGTGTGGATCTTAACAAATTATGGATAACATAGCAAAGAATGAGAATTCCAGAACACTTAGTTGTGCTCATGAGGAACCTGTACATAGACCAAGAAGCAGTCGTTCAAACAGAGTAATGGGATACTGCGTGGTTTAAAATCATGAAAAGGGTTGCAACCTTTCACCAGACTTATTCAATCTGTATGTGAGCAAACAGTCTGAGAAGCTGGACTATATGAAGAACAACATGGCATCAGGATTGGAGGAAGACTCATTAACAACCTGCAACATGCAGACAACCCAACTTTGCTTGCTGAAAGTGAAGAGGACTTGAAGCACTTACTGATGAAGATCAAAGACTACAGTCTTCAGTACGGATTACACCTCAACATAAAGAAAGCAAAAATTCTCACAACTGGACCAATAAGCAACAACACGATAAACAGAGAAAATACTGAAATTGTCAAGGATTTCTTTTACTTGGATCGACAATCAACACCCACGGAAGCAGCAGTCAAGAAATCAAACAACATATTGCATTGGGCAAACCTGCTGCAAAGACCTCTTTAAAGCGTTAAAAAGCAAAGATATCATCTCGAGGACTAAGGTGCACCTGACCCCCCCAAAAAAACCCCACTGCCATCAAGTCAATCTCGACTCATAGCAGCCCTCCAGGACAGAGTAGAACTGCCCCACAGGGTTCCCGAGGCTGTAAATCTTTACAGAAGCAGACTGCTACATCCTTCTCCCATGAAGCAGCTAATGGGCTTCAACCGCCGACCTTTTGGTTAGCAGCTAAACACTTTAACCACTGTGCCATCAGGGCTCCTTCTGCCTGCCCCAAGCCATGGTATTTTTAACTGCCTCATATGCATGCAAAAGCTGGACAATGATTAAGGAAGACCGAAGAACTGATGCCTGTGAATTATGGTGCTGGTGAAGAATATTAAATATACCACAGACTACCAAAGGAATGAACAAGTCTGTACTGGAATACTTACAGCCAGAATGCTCCTTACAAGTGAGGATGGCAAGACTCTGTCTCATGTACTTTGGACATGTTATCAGGAGGGACCAATCTCTGGAGAAGGACATCACGTTTGGGAAAGTAGAGGGTCAGGCAAACACAGAAGACCCTCAACGTGATGCAGTGACACAGTGGTTGCAACAATGGGCTCAAACACAGCAATGTTTGTGAGGATGGTGCAGAACCGGGCAGTGTTTCGTTCTGTTGTACATGATGTTACTATGAGTCGGAATTGACTCGATGGCACTTAACAACAACAAGAACTTTGGACCTAGTTCCTGGACGAATCGTTGACTATACAAGAACCATGGTTAATAGGAGAATGAAGCTCTGGTGTTATTTATTTCCTACATTTACATATAAAAATGATATGATATTACCGTGTACGTAACACACACATGCATTCACAGCTCATTTTCTTGGCCCGTCTTCAACCACAGATTATTCTGGACTATTTTGTAATGAAATTTTACAAAACACTTTCTTGCAGTTCTTACTTAAAGTATACTTTAACTCTCTGGTAACTATCTAAATTATTCTATCCACTATTAGATACCACTTCTATTATCATAATTCCCCTTCACATTATTTTACTGCCAAAATGGCAATGTGGTGGGAAAAACGGGACCATGAAATTGTGACTGACAAATATAAATTGCTGACCCCTGCCTTCAAGGAGCAAAAACCTGTAAGAGCAGTATGCTACAATGGAGATCAGGTTAAAAGTATCAGTAAGTCTTCATTGTCACATAACACGATTAGGTCTGAAACTGGGGAGACAGTGTTTATGGTTATTTATTCTTTTAGTAAGCAGTAAAGTCTTTTTACTTTTGTTTCTAGAAGGAAAAGTGTAGAGACACACTCTGGTATTTTCCCTTGCTACAGTTTTTTTCCAACTAACAGAAATGGAAGGAAAAAAGCATACTTCAAATGTACTATTTCTAGAAGTCAATCAACTGTTATCTAAAATAATAATTGCATATGAAAAGTCTAGAGTTCTATAATCTTTTTTCCTAAAACAGCAAATAAGGGCTAAGAAATCAAATGGATAAAGACAGCCAATAGTTGTTACGCACTGTATTAAGAATTAAAATCCAGGGAGGTGGGGCCAAGATGGCGGAGTAGTCAGACACTTCTGGTGGACCCTCTTACAACAAAGACCCAAAAAAACAAGTGGTTCAACTATATATGGCAATCTGGGAGCCCTGAATATCAAATGCAGAGTTGAGGAACCAGACTGAGTGGCAGGGGGAGGGAGAGATGGTTCGGAAGCAGCGAGGAGTTGCCAGACCTGATCTAGCAAGAGCCTGAGCCCTTCAGGCCTGATCAGCTCAGGGGGGAGCGGTGAGGCAGGCAAGTGACGGTGTTCGTGAGGGGCGTTTTCTGCAGTGGGAGAGACCCAGCGCAAGAGAGTCTACATGGCCACCCAGAACCAGTGAAAAGCGGCCCTGGATCGGCGAAAGATACGTAAGTGCATACGGCCTACCACGTGGATTAAAAACACTCCCCTTAGGGGAAAACCTGTCTCCCATTTACCTCCCCGCTCCCCGCTCTGCACCAGGTCCTGGACCGGCTTTAGCAACTGCCCAGTCCCCTGGGCTGTAAGTAGGATCCGTCACATGTATAGAGCCATTCTCCCTGCCTTGGAGAGTGAACAAATTAACAAACAGAAGAAAAAATAAACTGCCAGCTCCCCTAAGCCAGGAACCCAGGGTAGGCACAGCTCTTTTTTCCTAGGCACAGGCATAAAGGATCCACAGACTTTGAGTGCCTTTCCCCCTGCATAGACTTGTGTGGGCCCATCTCAACAGCGTAGGACCTCATTACCGCAGTACAACAGGGTATATACTAGAAATCTAACTTCAACTGTTTCAGCTGTGAAGTGGCAGGTTCTTGACATTTGACACTGATCTGCCCATTAAGCAGGGTCTTCACCTACCCACATCAGGGGCCTGAGGACCGGTGCTTCCACCCACACCACCTAGCCATCTGCAATAGGGGCCCATGAACAGGAGGTGCCCCCCCATCCTTACAGCCAACAGCATTACGTGCTCATAGTCTGGCTGCA